AAATAAACATTCTGTGATATTGAAAGATTATGTCACGGATGTGCAAGTTTGCTTTTGACTTCAACTGAAATAAAAATTAGCCTGATTGACGTATTATTTACTTTCTTTGTTATCAAATACCATAAGACATATCATTAATTGATATGTCTTGTACTATTTTTCAGTAACTATGACAAACAGCATGAGTTTTGATGGAAAAAACAAGTCATGTTCAAAAGCAATTACAACCTTTTTAGGCAAAGAGAAACACCATTTGATAAAGGAACACAGACCAGGTACACATGATCAAAGGGTAAAGTCTGAGAGAAATACACAGGGAAATTTTTACATTGACAGAATAAGAAATTAATGTGTTTGGATGAAGGCAAAGGATGATTCCAATAAACAAGTCAAAAATAGAACTATGTTCCTTCTTCCAAAGATGAAGTAAAAGATCAAACACATACACACACACAATCCCTGTGTTCTTTGTTTTGTCTTTAAAAACAATCTGTAAACTCTCTTGATGTTTCCTGCTCTCAATCTTCCAGCATTTCTCTTCCTGCCCTCCATGAAGAAAAAGTAGGGGAAATGGGAACAGCACAGATCCATATTTAGCATGATTTACACTGTCTTTAATATGACCTGAGTAGACCTAGTACACTGCCATTCAAAAACATTAGTAGGCAACAACATACTTTGTATGGAATCATATCACATGAATTCAATATTCTTTTAAAGGCCATAAAAACATGTATTAAACCATCATTGCAAGAAATATGAGATTTGGTGGAAGAACTGGCATTAGCTTCGCGTACTGGATGCATCATATTTCAAGTTAAGAACATGTCCAGCAGCAAAAGATATTTAGCGGCAACGAAAAGGCTGTGATTTTGTGTACATGCATGTGGGGCTTTGTTGTTGCTAGAGAAGAGTGGGAGGGGAGTGTGGGAGATGAGCGGAGTGGCAGAGGGGTTGATTTATTTTTCAAATTCACATTTGTGAACACGAAAAGAAGAGCTGTCAGCAGCACACATGCCAATGCCCAAATAGCAGCCAGACCTGCCTCTTCCCGTCTGGGCAGGCCAGACACAAAATGACATCTCACAATCTAGGAAAATCAACAGTCAGATATAAGGGGACTAGTGAGAGAAAAAAACAGTCCTGGAAATGTCCAGTTCCATATTATTTCTAGTGTTTAGAACTTGGAGTTTTAATGAATTGAGGGACCAAGGGAGACTGGTTAATCAAAACCAGAAAACTAAAAGGCAAACCTCAAAACAAGCTGGCTCCAATGCATCTTCCTAGTAGGTAATAAGTATAAAAGACATTAATTTCTCATCCAGGACTACAAGGAGTCAGACACGAGGAAAGTGGCGCTGCTTAGATGAGTTGTAAGGTCCTAAGGGATCAAGTGAGTGCACATTAACAGTGTGACATGCCAGGAACTATATCCAAGGCAGGATCCTGAGCTGTATTTCCAGGCTCACATCATACTAGAGAGACAATAGTCCCTCTCTAGGTCATTGATAAGACTGCATCTAAAAAGCTGCATATTATTCTCTAAAATGAGAAGAAAAGCTGAACCGCTGAACCAAGAGTTGAATAAACAGCTAAAGAGACTGACTAAAAATATATTTCTTTTCTGTAGTAAGAATGTTAGGAATATTAATAGTGACTCTTTACAGGTTGAACTCAAGTAAGGATTTACACGAGGTAAGCAAAAAAATTTTTTTTAAGGATAATTTCTCTTATTGTGCTGATAACATTATGGTCTGGCCAACCTAGGATGTTTATGTTTAACAACAATTTATGTTTAACAACAATTAAAATAAATGGCCTAAGGAAACACACACATACACACACACACACACACACCAGCCTACACTCCCTAGAGTGAGTTTGGGAGCAGGAGAGTAAAGACCTGAAATTAAGGCACTTCAGTAACCTTAATGTAATTGATTACAACCCAGATAGCTGCATAATGCTTTACAATTTACAGTGCTAGTTCACATAAATTACTTCATTAGATCCTAATAAAAGCCATGTGGAAAGGTCAGGACAGGTATTACTATCCCCATTTTACAGATGAGAATGCTGAGTTCTCCTCATCTCTGACTGATTGGGTCAGTCATCTGAGTCCTCTATAGAAAACTTTCTTACATTATATCAAGTGACAATAGCTATACAACCCAGTGAATAAACTTTTAATACTACTTTGTGCTTCTATGCTCAGTTTCCCCAGATATAACAGAGATATGACACAGGTGTCATTTTAAGTGAGAGATTAAACTGAAAGAATATAAATAATTCCAGATTTATAGAAAGTTCTGGTTGTAAAGAGGCTCACTGTGCAGCAGTTTTACACTTTAATCCAAAAGCCAAAAATAAGTCACAATTATGCAAACACTCAAATTGTTGTTTTAAACAAAGTAGACTGAATATGTGTATGATGTATCAAAGACCCAACAAACCTCAGTCTTTCAGAATTTGCTTTTAGAGCTAACTACATTAGGAACCACATGATAATATCAGAAAAGTGGTCAACTGGCCTTAATGGTTGCGGTTTAAAAAAACATATGTAACAGGATACCTTTAAATTCTGAACATGTGCTCGTTTTAGACTTTTAAAGTATATTTACGGAGATTTATCAAAAGAAATAAAAATTCACCATTTAAAGTAGAATGTAAGAAAAAACAGAAAAAAGAATATACCTCCAATCACCAATACATCTCCAACCTATGTCTTTACAACAAATCTAACTGCCAAAGAATTTAATGACAGTTGAATACCAAATGATTTATGATACCCAGCAAAAGTAAATATTTACAAAATAAACTTTCAATTAATGAAGTAAGGCAGATCCACAATCTGACTTTAAACTCTGGGAACAAAAGATATTCATTTCTGGGCTTATATGTAAATCCTGAATGATAAATCTTGAGATACAGTCCTCTGAGAAGTGCATTTATTAAAACTGCACATCATATTAAATAAATACAATGTAAAGTCAGATGTTATGCTTTGTCACTAAAGAAAAGCCAGGCATGTTTAGCTAAATCACTTAGAACTGGATGTCTACGAACACAATTCATCTGAGATATCTAAACTCCAGGTATCAGAAAAGGTCATCTGCACATTCTGCTGGAGGAAATGTAGTATTTACTAGTTCATTAAAGGGTAAATAAGACTTAAAAAGAGAAAAAGAAAAGTTTCTTTGCTGCCGAAAATATATCCATCAGCTTCTGAGACTTTAATAGTTGTAGCTCTCGAATCCATGTAAGTTTAATCATGCAACTGGTAGAGTTCAAACTTTCAATTAACAAACTACATGCCTTTTCAAGCGCAGGCTCTCCGTGCAGTGACAAACACTGTGGAGAAATCAATACTCACTCCAACTTGCTTGCATATAATGAGTTACATCAAGCACGGTTCCAATACTAACGGGGATTATATGTCAGAGATGCATGCAGTAATGCTCACTCCTGAGAGAATTAAACCATCGGATCATTCATTGCACAAAGCTGTTGCCCTCTGTATACATCACCGATATAATACGGCTTTTCCTCTGCATGCTGCTGTTTCATAATTTCTGCCTGAATGTAAAAACATGCTGTCAACTGAGTCAGTCGTCTAACTCCTTTTATAGAGTTCGGGGGCGGGGGGCGGGGGGACACAGAAAGGAAACAAACCATTACTTTGGAAAACAATAATTTGAGTTTTATTTCCAGGAAACAGGGCAGACACTGACAAGTACAAAGTAAGTTCTTTCTCTGCGTCCTACAGCCTCAGCCAGGAGCGCGGCTGTCGCTTTTTCCGTCTTCTCTATCACCCCCGGGCCACCTCTGCGTCTCCATCTGCACCTCGAACCCAGGCAGCAGATGCGCCCGCCAGCCAAGCTGAGCTGGGCGGGCCGGCCTGAAAAGTTGTCAGGACCGGCGGGAGGCAGACGAGCGCCCGGGAGCCCGCTCCCCAGCGTCCACCTGGTGAAACTTCAGAGCCCCCAGAGGAGAGAACGAAAGAAGCAACCAACCCACAGGAAGGATAACAGAACTGGAAGGGAGCAGAGGACGGGGCCGGGAGAGCCGGCGTTCAAGGACTTGAGTGGCTTTACCTAGAACCTAAAGGGCTAACATGCGAGGCCGCCCCACACCTCTCCTTTTGGGTTCAGCTGGCGGGCGGCAGTCGTTCACAGTCCCCATCACAGCCCCGGGGCGGCTCTGGGAGGTGCTGGGCCAGCTTCGCGGTGGCTTTGCCCAAGGTTCAGGCTTCCCCACCGGGCGCCCAGACCTCGCAGCCCAGGGCTGCTCGTGATCCTTAGAATCCCATTTCAAAACATCCTACGAAAGGCTCCGCCAACACAGACACAAAACACGTTCCGCGCAGCGCCCGAGCCCCCAGGGCAAGTCCAGGAGCAACCCAACGCTGGGGGAAGAGGAGGGGGACCCGGGGAGGAACGGGGAAGTGGCGAGACAATGGTCAGAGTAGGTTATTCCCGGGACAAAAAGCACCTGGCAAAGCGCGCCGGAGTCGGTCGCTTCGAGTCTCCACATTTCTGACAATGGCTTCCCGGGGAATTGTTTTAAACACTCTAGTGGCAGACAGCAACAAGCCGCACCGCGAGCAACAGAGTAGCCGTCGCCAGAGTCGTAGCTACTTTTCTTTCCCTCTCTCTTCCCCACTAACCCGGGGCAGGCTGCGCTGGCCGCCGGGACCACCCGTTCCCCGAGCACAACACTCCAGCTCTGCCTGCCAGCCCGCGCCCCGAGCGAGCTGCGGAAAGGAACAATGGGTCGCGACGAAGAAAGTTACCTGCGCCAAGTGGCGCCCGGCCCGGTGCCCCGCGTCCCACCTGGTACAAACTCTGGGGACAGCTCTCCCTCTACCCTGTGCCCCCCCCCAAGGCCGCGAAAGCTTCCCCCAGACCCTTGCCCCCGGCCCTGGCGAGGAGCGGGCTCCATCCCGCGAGCCCCGCGCCCGGGGCATTCGTCGGGGCTCCGGCCGCCCCCCGGCCACTCACCTGCGGAGAACTGGCCTTGGGCCGACCCCAGGAGAGGCCAAGGAGAGAGCAGCAAGAGCGCCACAAAAGCAGGCAGCGCCGCCGCCGCCGTATCCATGTCGAGTTTGGGAGAAGTTTCAAGCAGCTTTGCAAAGAGCTACCGGGGGGATCGCCGCGAAATCCACGAGACGGAGGTGCCGGCCGGGCCCCGCGGGGTGAGGGCGGGAGTCCGACAGCCGCCCGCCCGCACTTTTTCTTTCTTCGCGGTCGCCAAACTACCTCGGGGGCAAAAGCGTCGCCCGCGTCGCCGGCCGACCGAGGCGGCAGCTCTCCATGCTCGGCGGAGGATGCTCCTGTTCGTCAAGAGTTACTTTGCTCGGGGAGGGACGGGTGGGGGAGCGAGCGGGAAAGGGGACCCGGCGCGGCTCGCTGCCCTGTTCCAGAAACCGGAGTTTGAAAGGCGAGAGTTTGGGCAGCAGAGTGGCCGGAGGACCGAGAACGAGCGCAGAGGAGCACTCGCCGCCCGCGGAGAGGCGACCTGGGGTTAGGTCCCCAAGGTGGAGGTTCCACCGGAGCGGCTGCCGGTAGGAAGAGAGGGGAGTGTGGAAGCGCTCTAAGGATACCCACCCGCATGGAAAACGTACTGTCACTTGTTCATGTAATGAGGAATGACACCTACCCCCATAGAAAACTTATTGTTCTTTAATTGTATAATAAGTAAAACTTGAGCCCGAATAAACGTTCGGTAACTTTCCAGTGTGAACGGCCGGTTTATCATTTGCAGAATATTTGAATTTACTCTGCTTCACTGACTTTCCTTGTTGCTCTGAAACCTTATGGCCTCTTTCCACTTCTCCCCTCACCTAAGAACGGCAGCAGGTCTCATTATCCTTTCTTTTCACTTAGATCTGGTGGTGTAGAAAAAGGGATTTTGTTTTGTTGTTAACATCTAGTAGCTATTCAAGAGGTAAGTATTGAACCAAAGGACTTGACACCGACAATGAAAACAGCAACGACTGATTCATCTGGAGGAAAATAATGCTATATTATGACAGTGAAGTATTTTACAGTTTGCTACTTCTTCAGCAGCTTGAAGTGGTTTCACCATATGCCACGCTGACTTGCTTCTGTGGTAAGACTGTATGGTGCATACTTTATTCATTTTTCTAATATATCACAAAAAAATAGGTGCGGTCACAACTGAATAAACTTTTATTCAGAATTTTGATGTCATGTATGCAATTCCTAAGTGGTCTGTTGACTGACATCTGTCAGTTACTAAGACATCTTATCTTTAGCCTTTGTAAATCAAGACAATGTGAAATTCAATTTAATATGACATCCACATAATTTACCAAGCCACATATTCCTTTAGTCAAATACATGCTATTAATGACCAGATTTATGACAGAACCTGGAAATACAAACACAAATAAACACACACATATATGCATATACTATATACATATTTTATATGGAAAATGCTTTTAAAAAAATCGATAAGGGGCCGAGCCTGTGGCGCACTCGGGAGAGTGCGGTGCTGGGAGCGCAGCAGTGCTCCCACCCCGGGTTCGGATCCTATATAGGGATGGCCGGTGCGCTCACTGGCTGAGCGCCGTGCGGCCGGTCTCAAAAAGAACAACAACAAAAAAAAAAATCGATAAGAATAGCAGCTTGATTAAACAATTTCTTGTCTTGTAGCTTGCTCATTAGCACACTGAGTAGCCCAACACTTGTCAATTCAATTCAGCATAAAGTTCATCCTTCCTTAGGGTACAGTGTAGATTTTTTTTTAACTCATTAATCTATGACTTTTAGCACACTATCACCATTCTTATTTCTTTTATTGAGAAACATTCCTAGATTCCAGGTAACAAAAAACTGAAGGACACGTATTTTTCTTTTTAAGGACTTACTAGAATTTCCTAAAATTTAGCAGCAATTTGCCCCAATAAAAAACAAAACCCCCACCATGCATATACTAATTCATCCATTCTTCTATTCTTGCAAGAAAGATGAAAGAAGTTTCTGACTTGGCAATTAGTTTGTTTAAACACACAAATAAAAGCTTTTTTAAAGATTAACATGCTGTGCCAGGACAGAGTGCACACAGTTCTTACCTTGCCCATTCCTTGGGACAACTGATAGTTTCATTTCACTTCCTTTGTCACATTTTTCTTCAATATTATTATTGAAGTAATAAGTAATGTTGAGAGAGTGCTTACACGTGCTAGGCATACTCTTAACATATACGTCTCATTGAGACATTAAGATATACAATGTCTCTGAGTTTAGACAACAATTCCATGACGTAGGTACAATTATTATTCCAATTTGACAAATAAGGAAACAAGGTTAAAGATTAAGTAACTTGCCCAAGCTACACGTATGAGGGAGAAATGGAAGAGGAGAATCAAGAGGGGAAAGGAAATTCTCAAAAGGTATCAGTAAACCAGCAAATATGGCTTCTCACTAAAAATCAAAGAAATGCAGTAAAACTTTTAAACAAGTAAATCAGTCTTTTTGTCCTTAGGGACCATAAGTAATGCTGGCCAATATGGATTGTAATCATTTGAGCAGAGACCATGTGTCTTCCACATAATTAAGTGCCTGACAAATATTAGGAACTTAATAGGTTGTTGTTTGCAAGAATGAATAAATACGTCTCTATCTATCAATAGAAATATAAATTTGGTATGACTTTTTAAAAAATTTGGCCACATGCATTAAAATCATTAAAATATTTGTATTCTTCAGTAAAATTAAAAATATGAAAAATGTTATATACAGTTAGATATTTATTATTTACAAAAGAGAAAAGTGGAAATAATATACATGTCCAACAACAGGCAGATTCATGAGCATTATATAGTAGAAAATCTCACAACCACTAGAAAGAAATGAAGGTTATGAAAAAAGAGTAAGTAGCAATATGGAAAAATGCTTGCAATAAAATGTTAGGTAAAAAATCATAAGACAGGACAGTCTCAGTTTGGGAAGATGAAAAAGTTCTAGAAAGAAATGGTGGTGATGGTTGCATCACAAAGTGAATGTACTTAATGCTATCAAACTATACACTTAAAAACGGTTAAAATTGTAAAGTTTATGCTATATATACAGCATTTTACAATAATAAAAAATCAAAAGACAAAAGTCTACATGTATTATGATACAAGAAAAAAAGACTGAAAAAAACCAAAGCATAGTATTAATTTAATTAGCAGTAGATACAGAGTAATAAGATTTTATAGCTGGTTTTGTTTTCCTATTGTTTTTTGGTATATGGTTATAGTTTTAAAAGAGGACAGATTTGTATTTTGATTGCAGATTTACCACATACTAACTCCAAACACGAACTTAGACCTTTATTTGGCAAAATGTTTTCTGTAGAATTCCAGTTCTACCATATTTTAATAAATGTAATTGGAAAATAGGGTCTCAAGATCAAATGAGGTTGGGGAACTCTAGACTGAGCAAAGTTAGACGGGTTTCTTCACTATAGCAGGATTCTTTACCACAGGATCTTTTCCATGGTTACCAGTATGGTACTTTGCACTATATATCTACTGGAGGGGGAAAAAGAAGGCAGTATTTCTCAAAGTTTTGGACAACAGAACTTTTTTTTTTTTTTTTTTGTCTTTTGTCTTTTTCCGTGTCTGGCAACGGATCACAACCCTCAGTGTTGCCCCCGTACCAGTCCGGGGACCGGCAACGGGATTGAAACCCTCGGCGTCGCTCCCGCGCCTCGCTCAGCCAGTGAGCAGGAACCGGTCTGCATGTGGGATCCGAACCCTCGGGCGGGAGCACCGCTGCGCCTCCCAAGCGGCGCACTATGCAGTGCGCCACCGGGCCAGCCCTGGACAACAGAACTTTTTAAAAGAGGAGTATCTCAAAATTAGAGTTCCAGGGAATAAAATTTGAGAAGCACTGCCTTAAACAACACTTAAATATGTCTATATCTCTATCTCAATTTCCTTAATATGAAAGTGAGGTTAATCAGATTTTTCACAGGACTAAATGAAATATTTATATTTTTCAGAGAGGTGTAGACTTAGTTATGGGTATAGATGTAAAAGAGCCTGGATGATAATAGCTGCTGAATAAATGTTATTTTCCTTCTACTGTTCACTGAAGGATTACACACAAACCTGTACCCAGCAGAAGCAAAGTTTTATTAACCTAGTGACAGATCGTGAGTGTACACACAGCATGTATTTATAAGCAATTAAATAATATTCTCAGCTTGTTAATAATAACTAATTGCTTATATTATGCTTTTTAGTTTGTAAAGCATATTCACCCACATGATCTCAATCTACCCTCATTCCAACCCTTTGAAGTGGTAAGGCAGGGAGTATGATTAATTTCACTTAACTAATGAGGAAAACCAAAGCTTAGAGAGATTAAACTATTTGTCCAAGTTTATGCAGCTGATTAATAGCAGGACTGTAACTTTGACCTGGGCCTTCCAATTCCAAATCTCATTTATTCCCCAATTCCTATGTACCTAATTCTTGTCTCTAAATATTTTCACGTGAGTTAGTCAAAATCCTCAATGCCAATTCATCAGGCAAAGCCTCTTGGGCTGGTAGGCGGAAATGAGCTTCTATTTTCCTTTTGAAAGGAAAGAAGAAGAAAAAAAAAAACTGAAATACTTCTGTATAGTAAAACTCTTGCATGGGTATGTGTGTTGTCAGTAGAGTCCCTGGGGATGGGAGGGGCAGGGAATTTCTGACAATGAAGCCCCTAAATAGATCGGAAACTTCCAGAGGAAAAAAAGTGTTTGTTACATCTTTGAAAGCTGTCATTCTGGATGGATGTTGGAGACTTGGGCAAAGCTCAACTGCTCCCTAAAGTTGAGCTGTGACCTGGCCAAATTATTACTTAGATCTTGACACCAGAGAATCCAGGAACAAGAGAAATAGTGATGGTCACATGCATGCCCAACTCTAAAAAAATTCTGCTCTCTATATGTTCCTAGGCAATTTTGGATCAGATGTAAAGAAACGCACTGCATTCAAAACCAGAGTTATTTTGTGAGTCTCTTGAACCCTTTAAAATATCTATGTCTGGGGATTAGTTCAGAAACACTAGTCAAGAAAATGCATGCTCCAAAGGTTTTATCAAGGGAAGCAAAAAATGTGAGCAGCTTGAGAGCTCAGTGTTACCAATTTGGAAGAGCAATTTGCCTACAGCTGGATATAATTAACAAGCATGGGTCAAAAAGGAAGCCAATCATAAAAGTGTGAATTAGATTGAGGTGGAGGGATGGGACAGCGACAGTCACTTCCAGAGCTGGTATATTTTCACTTGAGAGCCTCTTCCCATTTTCAAAAAGCCTAGTCCAATGATGTAATAGAAGATTAAACTCTGAGGGGAGAAAAACCCAGTCTTTATAGTAACCCAGTATGTGTTTGACAAATTATCT